AGAGGCTTATGTGACTGTTCAATTAACAGAAGCTAACCAGATGCGTAGATTGCAAACTCAAGTAACAAAAGTTGGACACACATACTCGGTCACAGGGGCAAAGATAGTCTTCACCATATCTTCTGGTTGCTACCCAAGCCATCCAGCATCGCTTTCATTTTGCCTGGATTGAGCTTCAGTTAACTTAGCTCATCTCAGCAAGACACGAGGGGAGGCATTTGATAGTAGTAGCTGCGTTGGATGAGATAGACATAGAGTTGGATGTCATCAGCATACTGAAAGCACAACATTCTATACTTCCTGTGACCAATTGACAGAAGGTTACAGCATTCCCGTGAGTCTGGTATTTATGTTCTAGTTCACCAAAGAGTGCCATGTAAGGTTTCTACTGGAAACTGATCATGCTGATCATCATAATCTTTGTGTAATGGATAATATGTAAGAAGGGGTGTGTGGCGGGCGATATATGAGAGAGGAAACTATGTTCCTAGGCCTTGTAGCTAAAGACAGGTGACCCAGAGGTAGCATGCCTTACATCAGGTTCCACCAGACTGAAGGTGGGAGATACTTATCTCTCTGGCTGACCATTGTGTATTGTGTGTTTTACAATGGAAGTTGATTTGCATACCGAGTGAAATGCTAAGGAAGAGATTGCAGGGGACATCAGAAGGAAAATTAACAGGAAGAGGTGAACAGCCAGGGCAGAGGACCCTGTTTTACAGGTGAAGAACAAAGGACTGGACTAGTATATCTGGAGGAGCAGGAACATGTCTTGGCATCCTTCATCAAGGGGAAACAAGTTGCCATCAGATTCGATCCCATGAAAGGAGGATCTCAGCCATCTTGGTTGAAAAATGCTGTGAGAAGGACTTTGGGTAAGCAGTACCTTATAAGGCAAGAGGGGATCTTGTTAGTTGAGTTTAGGCTGTAGAATACAGAATACATGTCATGAATTTATTTTATATGGAAAGCTTTTGTTTTTAATAGTTCTGTTTGCTATCGTCTGAATCTCTATTCTTTGTTAAATAAGCTTATATTTGTGTTCTCTATAAACAAATCTAAGTGCTGTGTGTTACACAGCTCTATGTTCCCAAGTGTAACTAGCAAGCTATGGTGTACTGTTTCTTTGAGAACAGCAGGCCTGATCATTCTGAGAGTGTCCCGTGGATAAGTGGCTGGATTCTGCAGGGAGATGTTTGGAGGACTCGGGTTGGAATGTGCCCATTGCTAACCTGCATGAGGGACAGTGGAGCCCTCATGGGCTGAGAGAGAAGTGCTTGTGTTGTCAATGGCTGGGAGAGAAAGTGAGCTGTCCCCTGGCAGATACAGACAAGGCTCCTCTCATGCTAAGGGCAAGTGGTAGCAAGGTGTCTCACAACCCTGGGTACCCCTGGGAAGTGTCCTATTTTCTCACTAATCCTTCCAGTTGGCCCTCTACATCTGAATCAGGAATCATGCAAAATCATCCTTTGAGAATGTTTAGTGAGAAGGAATAGAACTGGGAGATGCCCAAGATCAGTTCTGTCCGTTCTTGCAGTGGTCTGGGAGTGTCAGAATGATGGAACCAATGGACCAGCTTTTCTATGCTGACTCCACACTAGCAAGAGATTCCCTTACACTGGGGGAATCCTTATCTGCAAGGGTAGTGTAGCTTTGCAATCCTTTTGTACTATTGGAGCTACACAAGGGGCTATATTGGGGGACTGGATCTGGTTCTGGATCTGTAAACTGAAAGTGAAAAAGATAGTCTCTTAATATGTTAAGTGAAAACTTAGAATTTGCAGAATGCCAAACCATTGAAAACACTCTAAAATTGCTATATCTCCTTTTTTCCCCTCCTTTCTTTTCCTTGATTTTCTTCTGTTTCTGATGTCTAATCAGTGAGGATTACTTTATTTTATTTTATTTAAATTTAAGCAATAAAATACACCAGATGTCGGACAAATTAATAATAGTCTATCGTTTAACCCCAAAAGTCTTGCAGCATCAATATAAAAAGATCTAACAGTGATGATCCCAAACAAGCCATATTAATCTTAGAAAGGTTTCAGAGTAGCAGCCGTGCAAGGCACTAAATTTAGCCGTATAGAGTGGTAATCTTAGGAATGGCTTTGATCGAGTGGGCTGGCGGTACATGTTTTAGACCCTACAGAAATTTGGATTTGGACCTGTATCCAACTGTTATGTTCACATCCAACCTCTCACATCATGATCAACAATGTGACCTCAGATACCTTCAGTCTCTTCCGGGGTACTAGGCGAGGATGCACACAGTCTCCATTACTTTTTTATTTGGATCTTGAGGCCTCGGAAATAGCTATCTGAGCTCCATCCAGATATCCAAGTTATACAGCTTGGTTCTATGGACTATAAATTGATGTTATATGCTGATGATGCCTTTTTATATATATCCAAACTAGAACCCCCAGCCCTCCCATCACTAATTCAAAAATTTATAGTATCTGGTTACAAAATAAATTGGGGAAAGTTGGATCTATTGGAAATCTCCCAGTTGTCATGTAGTCAGCCATTTCTCAATGGCTAAGCCCTGGCACAAATTAAGGACTGGATTTATTTAATACAATAAAAATGAATACTCAGCCTAGGCTCCTCTATATGCTAATCATCCTACCTGTATATAATCCTTCCATTTTGGTATATGAAAGGAGATTTATAAAACAAAAACTGTTACTCTGCTGGTTTTGTGACAACTCTTTTTTTCTAGGAGAAAATCAACAGGTCTTACTGAAGGATTTGGTCTAAATTCAAAGTTTGGTGCAGAGGGAGACCTATTTAGCCACCATGTTGCAAAAGTGTCCCATATTCTGGAATTTTTACAAGATGACTTTGATCTCAGGGTGCCGGGTAATACCTTAAAAATGCATCTTCACTGCCAGTAATTTTGAGTGTATCCAGAAAGTCTTCCATTTCCCACCAAAAGGACTTACATTGCTTCATTTCAGAAGTTCAGTTATAGTGTCTTCCTGAGGTGCATTGAGCTCTATCTTTGGATTTGAACATTGTGCTCAATGCCTTAATGCAGGCTCCCTTTGAATCTATGGAATCAGATTCATTGTACTACCTATCAAAATGACCTTTTTGATCGCTGTCACCTCAGCAAGAAGGGTATCGGAGTTGGGAGTTCCATCAACTCATACATCCTGCTGTGTCTTCCATAAATGTACGGTGGTTTCAGAAACGGATCCTAGCTTTATTCCAAAATTAAATTTGATTTTTTTCATTGACAACAAGAGACGTTAATGCCTTTTTTTTGTCCACATCCTTCTCACCCAAAGGAGACACTATGGCATTTATTGGACTAAAGCAAGCCTTCGAGATTTATCTGAAAGGAGCTGAAAGCTTAAGAAAAAGAATAGCCTTGTTGGTGTTATTTCAGTGAAGGAAAAGATGATCTAAGGCACCTTAAATCATCAGTCTCACAGTGGATTTGCTGGTACATTGCTGAGGCATATAGAACAAAAGGACTTAATCCTCCATTGGGTACAAGAGCTCACTCAGCCCAAGCAATGGTGGCATCGTGCACTGAAAAAGGGCAGGCCCCTCACAAAGAAATCTGTAAAGCTGCAACTTGGTCATCCCTGCATACATTTACCAAGTATTATAAGGTAGATAGTCTTCAGCTGATTCAGTCTTTGGTAGGTGGGTCCTGCGTGTTGTGGCAATTTCTTGGCATAAGGGAATCCTTTCTCTCAGTGATGTAAATTTGTTCCCTCTCTAGGATTTTTGTCTTTTCTGGGAAAATCCCACACTGAGGATTTGTGGTTGTGTACCTGAAAACTTCCCCATCCTTAAAGGAATAGGACCCCAGATCCAGCCCTCTCTGAGAATACAAGGGAGATCTCTTTCATTATGGTGAAGTTCTCTGCTCTGCAGGAGTTAAAACCTTTCTTGTGGATTATAATGTTTCTCATTGACTGTGTTTTTCCAAGGTGCTGATGCAGCAGCATAAGATTCTTTTTTTGTTTCACGGACAGAGGCGCTAGCTTTTGAAGCATCTTGTAACTGAGGGGTTGGAGGCTAGTCCCTCATCAGCCATCCAGTCAGCTTTAATTCTGCCCTCTACAGCTACAGATGAATGGCAACCCACACTGAGGCTCTGTGGACCTATTCATTCTCCAAGTCTCAGGTTGTTATGTGCTCCAGAGTGTATGAGCACCTCACAGTCTTTAATATATTTACCCTCACATCACCCCTGGGAGGTAAGGAAGTACTATCATCCCTACTTTACAGATGGGGAACCGAGGCATAGAAAGACAGAGGCTTGCCCCAGGTTGCTCAGGAAGTCTGTGGTACAGTAGGGAGTTGAACCCCAGTCTACTGGCTAATCACTGGAGTATTTTTCCTCTCTATAATGTTCAAAACATTTTTAAAGGAATGGAATAAAATATGCTGTGGAATTGGGGATAAAAATTCACCTAGGACCAGACTTGGCTGGGTATCCTTTTCCTGATTTTGTCTATCTTATGTTGAACAGAATTCTCTTTCCTGGTCTCCTACTGTCAGTTTTTTCCTGTGGCTGCACCTATCCCAGTGAATCTGGCCCAATGTGTTCTCTGATTTGTCAAAGAATGCTCCAAGAAAAGTAGCTTTATAAGGTTTTGATAGCTCTGACTTGAAACGCCAATATTTACCTAAATTCAAGTATTGCCTGCTGACATCAATACAATGTGTGTTTTGATGGTACTGTACAAGGAGAAACTGCCAATATAAACTTCAAAGCTTTTCCTATTTTTAGATTTATTAACTCTACAGTTCTTCAGTAGCTTCCTGATCACACATTAGTCAAAGTCTGCAGTGACACAATGATAGCTCTCTCATTGCACCAGCATATTGAACTGTCTACCACCAGCCTTTGCATCAAGAATTTCCTTACATTCCTACTCTCCCATAGAGGAATTGAAGAGCAGAATGAGCATATTGAGAAGAGAAAGAGCAGCATATTAAAAGATGTGATCATTTTAGGCAAGATCTCATTCTCAGAAAAAGAGCATTATATTGATTTCTCTGGTGAAGGAATTAAAATTGACTTGAGGGGGATTTCTTTCATATGCTTAGGGTTTTTTAAAAGCCATATGGCCCTCGTCAGAGTTGCTGTAACTGCTGAAGACAATATTTGCTGAAGTTTTAGGAATACAGAAGATCCAAAGTTAAGTTGAACTCTATCTTTCCAGCAGGAGAACTGGTTGAGCAGAAAAACATTTTGCTTTATGGAAGCTAGACTATAAAAGCCATACATAACTGTAATAGTCTTAAATGATGAATAGTATTGTGCTATTATTCATATTCAGAAATGCAGCTAGTGTCCTTGGTCTACATTTTGTGTGAGCTATGCTAATTTTTTTTGTTTCAAAATACAGATGAACGTGATCAGCATTTTGTTCTAACCCCATGCTAAACCTTCACTGGAGCTTTTTAATCTTTCTGAAAGCTGACAGTATTTCTCCTGCAACTGTTCCTCATTTTTATGTAGCTACTTTGCATATCTATATAATAAATAAAAACTAAAATATTTTCTCCCTTTTTGACCCAAGCAGTTAGCCAATATGTGGGGTCTTGCAGGTTATTTCCATTCAGAGGAGAAATTGATGATAGTCAGGTATCTTTGATGTAATCCTGTTTATTTACAAAGAAAGTACACAAAGTGCTCTTTCCCTAAACACAGTAGGAATCAAACATCACACAGCTTTCTTTTATCACCGTTCCAAACCTCTTTCCAACCAGCACTCTACCCAAAGAGACTGTCTCTTAGCTTTTTCTCAGGGCCACACTACAAGTGCTCTTCTGGCTCACTGTCAGGCTTTCTTGCTGCCTTTTCTGTGATCTTCTGTGGTGTTTCTGTTGCTTCTTTCATACATACATAGCTCCATCCAGCAACACACAGCGCCCTATATTTGCATTCAGACTCCAGGGGAAAATCTCTCAGTACCTACTTCTGCCTTGCATGGGAGCCTGCGTTTTGAGCAGTGGCTCCTATTTTTTCAGCTGTCTATTCCATAAAGGAGCTTAATTGCTCTTTACATTTATTCTGACCAAAAAAAAGGCATCCGTTATACCCATGAGCTTTACAAGGTTTCACCCAACCTCCAGCTTAACAATATTTATGTATTTGAAATATTAGGAAAATAGAATATTAAGGGCAAAACGCATCTCTCCTTTGAACTCTGAGAGGAGAGACTGGTGAGTGATTTTGAATTATTTTTAGCTCTGTAGCTAGCAGTGAATAAATACATTATTTAGACCTTTTACCAAAAACACAGTAATTTATTCTTCGTACCAGTCAACCAGCAACACCTTCTTACACCCACTAGCACAGTTAGTCACTTCTTTTGTAGATCTTTACAAACAAGCTAACCCAATATTCAAATATAATTGAGACAAACTCGTATGCTTCTCTACAGTCAGGAAAAATCAGCTGTTACCTTAATGCTAACAGGCAAAAATAACTTCTGGGCCTGACTCTGCTCCTTGGAGTTAGAGGCTAATCATTTTTCTCAGAAGGTATTTTGCTCTTTTAAGCTCTTATGAAATGGACAATATCCATTGTCCTTTGTAGCGATAGTCTGTCTGTACATACTGTTTGAGGGGTCTGTCTGTTTTGGAGCCTAACTCCTCTGTGACCTTTCTATGTGCCTCACTTGGTGTAAAGGCTGTTCCTTCTGAGCCAGCCAGGGAGTCTCTCCCTCTATGAAAATTATACCCCAGTAAAAAACTTCCCCCTGTCTTTACCTCATCTTGGATCCAGCATGTGTCTGTTTCCCTGCTGACACAGTGTCCTTCTGCAGAGCGAAATTCACCCCATTCAGAGGGCCAGCACAACGGCCTATGTACCACTTCTCAAAATAGGGTTTACTTGTGATTTCGTTGGTGCAGTAGGCCTTGTGCTGGCTGTCTCAGGAATTTCAGGCCAGCAAAGCGGACACATTAGCTTTGTATGATAATGACATTGGGATTCTCCAAGGAGTAGCCTACACCTCTGACATGCAGGAGGGTTATTTTTATTCTGATGAAACTGCCATCAGTGGGGAAGAATGTGTAAGAGGCCATGGCTGAATATTAATTTTGGGCTCTTCCCCCAGACAGAAGATCTCTTCTTGAGGTCAGTATGAGGGAGTCATTTGCCTCTCTCCTCTGCAGTATTTGTGGAGAAGCAAATGAGTAGTCACTGACCCCAGGAACAAATCTGCCAATTATGAAAAGGCACTAAAGTGGCCTTCAGAAGCTGAGTTTTTTGGGAAACAATTGGCCACTGATGGAGTCCTTCCCTCTCACCTCAACTTATTAATTTAAAAAATGTATAAAAAAATACCCTGGGTGATTCATAGCCAAATGACCCCTATTTTATTCTATAGAGGTTCTTCTACTGCCCTGATAACCATGAGGGCCTTCCAAGAGTGCATTAAGCAACATGATTAACATCTGGCATATGTGATTTGTTCCCTCTTATCCTCTCCCCAAAGAGAGAATTGTGTGCAGTGGAATGTTTTTATTTTAATAAATATGTACATGTTGCTCTATGGTTATATTAGAGAAGGCCAGATTGAAGTAGTATTCCTCGTCCTTGGAGCAGAAGGTGATGAGGTTTTTGATGGTCCTTGGTTTCTGTGTGAGTTTGTTCCACAGTCATAGATCGACTCCCAAGAAAGCCCTGTCTCCTGCACAGAAAAGCTTTAGCCTGAGAAAGTTCCATTGTGCCTAAGGAGTGCAGCTGTTGACCCTGGCCCTCATCCCACAACTTTAGTCTTCTAGATAATCTGGGCCTACCCCATTGAATGCCTTGAAGATAACCATCGCCATGCCTGCCTGTCCTCCTCCCTGTTCAAACGCAGTCCTGCAGGAGAATGAGCTTAGCACTCAAGTTAACGACCATTTGCATCAGCACTACAAGAAAAGAGCAAAGACAATCATATAATTAGACCACAAGATCTGGGAAGCTCATTTCCCTGCCTTTTTCTCCTGCGGTGGCTTCGCAACTTGCAGCTGTAGAGGTGACTTTTAAAAAAAATGTCTTATGGCTTGTCATGGCAAATAGACCTATAGAATAGGTGCCTTCTCTAGAGCTAGGACCAACAACCTCCCAGGGCTTTAGCAATTTCCAAACTATGGTCACTTTCTGCTGAACAGGGCCTTTAATTGCTTACTTAATGCATCAATATGCTTTATGCCTTAATTGCCATGCATGTGCGGTTTTGTATTGCAACCTTCATGCTGTTCATATCCAGTGAACTTGATTATCCTTGGTTTTTGGAGAACTATGCTTTTTAAAGCTCTACCCATTCAACAGAAGCTTGCTCAAACTGTCTACTGATTTATCTATTCAACTGAACATAGGCCATTAAAACAGAGTACTGAATATGCTTGTGCTTTAGACAAAGATTAGACTTTATTTTCAAAGTTTGAATAGTTTTTATTCTGGTGCATGTTGCTGCTGTATTTGCTGAGCTTGATCCAAAAGAATCAAAGCACGTGGTTAAAGCAAAGAGTGGCATGTGGTTCATGAACCCCATAATTAGTTCCTCTTCCTAGCTCCAAGCAGTAATTAAATCTGCCACTTCTGCTCTGCTGATTCATTTATTTAGCTATTTAATTGCTCAACTGAATACGTCTTTATCTCCGGAACTGCAACATTTTATTCAGACAAAGAAATAGCATAATCCATTTTTTTCCAAGATCAGGGACGTGTAAAAGAAAAGAGCATTAATACTACATGATTTGGTGGTGGTGTCACTTTTCACTTATCAAATAAAACAGTGTTTAAGGGAAAACTTCAACTGATGCTTAAGGATAGCTTTCCATATATAGGTTTGTTTCCTCTAAGAGCTCATTATGTCAAACTTTGAATCCTAATACATCTATTCCAAGTTGCGATCAGGGTCATGAGTTAAACAGAGGAGCTCTCAGGGAATAATAGCAATAATTATATGTAAAACAGGAAATCCAGCCGCTACTCTATTGGCAGCAGATTTTTATCAACATTTTTAAAATGTAGATGCACAGCACACTGAACAGTAACTTTCCTATAGAAAGCTCCTTTTGGGTATATTTCTGATGAGTATATGATTTATGTCCATGATGTCTTTGTCAGATTCATCTACAGGTCCTGCAGTTGGGTCTATAAAGCACACAGTCTTGAGTACGTTCAAGCTTACTAAAGAGAGTCCTTGTACCATGCGGGTGCACATTTCCATAGGTGCAGTTTTCCTCACTGTGTATTTTTAGGATCCTTTGAAGGACATCACTTTTATCCACAGTTTGCAAAAATGGATGGGTTTGGAGAAGCAGTTTGTAAAACAGTAAGGTCCAAACAAAACTCTTACTGACAATCAGTTTGAGAAGAAACCTGCTTTGGAAGTTGGAAAAAAAATTAGTAACCCTTTTTAATTGTCATGTCTTTGTTCCGTCTGTCTGTCTAAAGTTTTATACCATGCACGTCACTGTTGTCTGAGTCTATTTCACTCTATTAGATTAATATTTATATTGGACTTCTTGCTGTTCTCTTACCAAGTTAGTAGTGTTCAAAACTGTGCAGCTCTCTAGGTAAATCATTGTTTTCACAGGTAAACTCGTTATTTAAAATTGTTCACCAGTTACCACTGGGGTAAAGGTTTTTTACTTGTATGAAGCTTTTGTTCAGCTCTTAGTAACTCGACGAGAGTTTTACCTGGATAAGGACTTTAGGACTTGGCCCAAAGATACTTACATTGCACTGTTTTTATTGTTATGCTTTTGCGTGAGCCTTCATTAAACAAATAACGGTTTTCTGACCCTGCAAAAACTTGAAATCTGGCAAGCAGCTCTGTCCTTACAGGATTGTCTCATCTTTTTCTCATAGAAATAGAGGGCTGGAAGGGACCTCAAGATGTCAAGTCCAGCCCCCTGTACTGTGGCAGGGCCAAGTAAACTTAGACCATCCCTAAGGGATATTTGTCCAACTTGTTTTAAAAAGCTCCCAATGAAGGGGACTCTATGACCTCCCTTGGAAGCCTAGTCCAGAGTTTAACTACCCTTCGAGTTAGAAATGTTTTTCCTTATATCTAACCTAAATCTCCCTTGCTGAAGGTTAAGCCCATTACTTCTTGTCCTACCATCAGTGGACATGTAGAGCAGTGGATCACCATTTTTTTTTATAACAGCCCTTAACATATTGGAAGACTGTTATCGGATCCCCCTGCAGTCGTCTTTTCTAAAAAGTAAACATGCCCAGTTTTTAACCTTTCCTCATAACTCATTTTTGTTGCTGTCCTCTGGACTCTTTCCAATTTGTCCACATCTTTCCAAAAGTGCGGTGCCCAGAATTGGACACAGTACTTCAACTGACGCCTCACCAGCGACAAATAGAACAATTACCTCCTGTGTCTTATTATATACAACACTACTGTTAATACACCCCAGAATCATATTAGCCTTTATTGCAGCTGCATAACATCAAGCAATTATACTCAGTTTCTGGTCCACCATCACCGTCAGATCCTTTTCAGCAGTACTACTACCTAGACACTTATTCCCCATTTTGTAGTTATGCATTTGGTTTTTCCTTCCCAAGGGAATTACTTTGCACTTGTCTTTATTGAATTCAGACCAGTTCTCCAATTTGTCAAGGTCATTTTGAATGTTAAAACAGTCCTCTAAAGTACTTGCAGCCCTTCCCAGCTTGGTGTCATTCGCAAAGTTTACAAGCATAATCTCTACTTCATTATCCAAGTCATTAGTGAAAATATTGAATAGTACTGGACCAAGACTGACCCCTGCGGGAACCCACTAGATACACTCTCCCAATTTGACAGCAAACCATTGATAACTACTCTGAGTGCAGTCTTTCAACCAGTGTGCACCCACTTTATAATAATTTAATCCAGACCACATTTCCCTAATTTACTTGAGAGTGTCATGTGGAACTGTGTCAAAGCCTTCCTAAAATCAAGGTATATCATATATACTGCTTCCTCCTATCCACTAGGTCAGTAACCCTATTAAAGAAGGAAATTAAGCTGGTTTGGCATGATTTGTTCTTGACAAATCCATGCTGATTATTCCTTATAACCCTATTATCTTCCACGTCCTTACAAATTGCTTGTTTAATAATTTGCTTCAGTATCTTTCCCGGTATTGAAGTTAGGCTAACTGGTCTATAATTCCCCATGTTCTCCTTGTTTCCCTTTTTAAAGATAGGTACTATGATTGCCCTTTTCCAGTCTTCTGGGACCTCTCCCATCCTCCGGGAGTTCTCAAAGATAATTGCTAATGGCTCTGAGATTGCTGCAGTTAGTTCCTTAAGTACCCTAGGATGAATTTAATCAGGCTCTGCCACCTTGAATGCATCTAATTTATCTAAATATTCTTTAACCTGTTCTTTCCCGATTTTGGCTTGCATTCCTTCCCCCAGTTGTTAATATTAATTGTGTTGACTATCTGGTCATCATTAACATTTTTAATGAAGACTGAAGCAAAATTGGCATTAAGCATTTTAGCTTTCTTGATGTCATTAGTTATTAACTCTCCTTCCCCTCTTAATAGAGGACCTATGCTTTCCTTCGTCTTTCTCTTGCTCCTAATGTATTTAAAGAACCTCTTATTACCTTTTATGTCCCTTGCTAGGTGTAACTCAGGGTCCCTTAGCCTTTCTGATTTTGTCCCTACATACTTGTGCTGTTCTTTTGTACTCCTTATCAATTTGATCATGTTTCCACTTTTTGTAGGATTCCTTTTTGATTTTCAGGTAATTATAGAGCTCCTGATGGAGCCATATTGGCCTCTTACTATTCTTCCGGTCTTTCCTTTGCGTTTGGAATAGATTGTAGTTGTGCCTTTTAATATCCTCTCTGTAAGGAACTGGCAACTCTTCTGAACTTCTTTATTCCTTAAATTTTCTTCCCAGAGGACCTTCCCTACCCATGGCCGCCGAGAGCGGGTTCGGGCCCTGGTAAAAAAAAATTTTTTTGGGCCCCCCAGCAAGGGCAGACCGGCTAAATAGGGCCAACGAGAGGTGTGGGGGGAAGCCAGTCCCAGAATTTTTTTGGGCCCCCCGGCAAGCACGGACCAGCTAAACAGGGCTGACGAGAGCGGGG